CATCATAGAATGAAAAGTAATTGACCTAAACTATGATTTATTTCTCTAAAACATATTATGGTTGTCACTAAAACATTCCTCTCTGTTTCATGTATATTTTTCACAATTTTTTTATAGAAAATTCACTAAAATTCACTTGACCCAATTAAAACGGTGTCAAATTACAAGCCGTCCTGTAAGCTTACAGATACAGAAAAAATGCTATAAGGATGCTGATATGAAGCTTGCAGTGGACAAGGTAGTTGAAATGCTCAATGGCCTGTACATGGAAACGGTAATATTGCATCAATAATATGGTAATTAATGTATATGGTAATACGTATCATATCAATAAAGGAAAAACAAGTAAAAATGAGAGAAAATCTCATTTATTCTACCTCTACATCATCTACAATGAAAGAGGAGAACTTCAGAGCACTGTTAGTTATGGATGAGTACACTGTGCATGCTTCAAATGTTTTAAAATTAAGTTTTATTCCAAGTGTCCCAAGTAGCCCTGTTTGACGTGGCTGCTCGGGACACTCTTTTTTTTGCTTCTGGCACCTTACAAATAGCATACTGTATTGAATTTTTTTGGAGAAGCCATGCAATAGCCCTTGCAAAGAGCTTTGAAATAAGCCTAAACTTGTTTATGAAATGTTTCATGGTAAGAAGTTATGAATGAAAAACTTTCAAAATCGTCCCGAGTAGCCCCGGTTGATGGTACTATACTATCCTAGTGCATTTACTGCATTATAAGCAATTATTCTAAAAATAGTACAATTTCTGAGTTTGGAGAGATATCTAAATAGTGGTTATGGCAGTACCTGTTTATTTCCTTATCTTAACCAAGATTAGCATAAAAATTAGTGCAGTTGGATAACTTGGATTAATATGTGCTATGTTCCACTGTTTGGTTTTACATACTAGTCATAAAATGCAATTGTGATGCCAGCAAAGATTAAATTTGATATTAATTATTTGCCATCTCTTGTTAATTCATTTGCACATCATTATTTAGATGTTGCTAATTTAATTCAACTTGTTATAAGAATTTGGTTCAGAGACAACTTGTTATAAGAATTAGGATCACATATTAGTTTTTTTATTTGAAGCTTGCAGTAAAAATGAGAAATACAGGTATTCAAGACATGCAGGCATTTGGCATAGTGGCAATTTGGCATAGTGGCAATTTGGAAAACAAGTGATTTTTTAAAATCATTTCATTTTTAATTTTCTCATTTACCTACTTAAGATTTAAACCAATATCTTATGTATGATGATGTTGGTATCCATGATACTTTGCTGGTCTACTTATAGGAATTATAATTGAACTTGGAGGAGAGTAAAAAACTCTCTGCTTTGCCACTATTCATGCAGCAATGCGGATGCAGCTGTTTCATTTTCTTTTGATGCAGGGTGAAATTTTAGAACTGTAATTCATATCTTCAAGGTCAATCCAATATTATAACCTATAAACCTAATCCAATAATCATTGAAACCAATTATTGTTTCTAGGTTAATTTAAAAAAAAATTGCAGATAAAAATTTGCTGTTTTGCATGATTTTTACCTTGCACAAATGAAATTATGCAAGGGCCATAAAAACATGATATTTACCACAAGCAGGGGCTTGTTAGTGAGTTAGTCTCATTAAAGAGTTGCTTCTACCTAATTACAACACTTCTCTTTAACTTTACTTCTTGTTTTTTGACATTTGTCTACTTTCTGCTACAAATCTCATAATCATAATTTAACACACTTCTGCAAAGTTTTGCCTGTCCAATCAATCTGAAATTTAGCATACCGTCAACTGGGGCTACTCGGGACAGTTTTGAGCGTTTTTTGTTAATAACTGTTAATAACTTCTTATGATGAAACATTTCATAAACAAGTTTAGGCTCATTTTATAGCTCTTTGCGAGGGCTATCAAATGGCATTGTCAAAAAAATTCCATATGCTATTCGTAAGGTGCCAGAAACAAAAAAAAGTGTCCCGAGTAGCCCCGTCGAACGGGGCTACTCAGGACACTTGGAATAAAACTTCATTTTAAAATATTTGAAGCATGCAGAGTGTACTCATCCATTACTAACAGTACTCTGAAGTCCTCCTCTTTCATTGTAGATGATGTAGAGGTAGAATAAATGACATTTTCTGTGATTTTTACTTGTTTTTCCTTTATTGATATGATATTGCCATATACATTAAATACCGTATTATTGATGTGCAATTATCGTATTATTGATGTGATATTACCGTATCCATGAACATGCCATTGAGCATTTACAACAACCTTGTCCATTGCAAGCTTCGTATCAGCAGCCTTATAGCTGTCTCTTATACACATCTAGATGTGTATAAGAGACAGGTCCTGAGTAGCCCTGCCGTGCGGAAATGACCGCCATTTTTTTGGAATGAGATAGGCAAAATCTGTCAATTACGTTTGCAAGCCGACACCTGGCTGCAACTTTTATGTAAGTAAAATTTTTTAATACGGTGAATATTTATTTTAATACAGAACTTAGCAGAAGTAACTTTTCAAAATATCATTTTCCACCATTTTCTCAGAAATTTTTCAAAGCTAGTGAATGTAGTATTTTTGAACTTCCTTTATACTACATAGATAGGAAAAATGTTGATGTTTACGCCACTCTAATTAGTTTTGCAATATTCCAATTAATTTTGCTACTAAAACAGTTTTACGCCGTGTCGGAGGACTGTCCCGAGTTACCCCACCCGTCCGGAGTAGCCCCGGTTGACGGTACTTGAGTAAAGTCAGACAATACATGAATCCATGGACAGAATAAATAATTTGAAAATTATAAAAAATTTATTTTTTAAAATACATTTTAAATACCTATTATTTTTACAAATTTTTAAAAAGAAAGTAAGAAATTCATTGTTCATGCGTAACATCAGAAACACTGGCCTCTTTAGAAGTGTTCTCTTTAAAAAGTAATTTTTAAATGCATGTTATTTTCCAGTAAGGCTGGTGCATAACTTGATTAGTTAAAAAATATTAGCTAATATAAAAGGAAAGAAAAGTTTTCAGTTTTTAGATTCAATATGATGTGTATACTTTGTATACATATTATCTCACCTGAGTTACACACTTCTTGATATTAAACTGGGTAATTATTTTGTAGAAGATAAAATAAACCAAGCTTCTGACCAATGTCCATGTTGCTTGAAGTTGAAACTACTTAAGCTTTTCTTAATTTCTTTAGTTCCTTATATTGTGCATTGTCTTCCTCAGGTTTAGCCATTGCCAAATGAAGCATAACTAGAAGTAGACTAGTTTTGGATAATAAACTTTGTAATTGATTGTTTTTACTTTGATCTTTTAAACCAAGGAAATATCAATTTTAATTTTCAATTTAACTATTTGAACCTGCTTTTATTATGTACAAGACAGACTCAAAACAGCAACAATAGTATCTGCACTTCAGTATATATAGACAATAATTGTATAAATATTTATATAGTGATTGGTGCATTTAGTTCATAATTAAAATAACTTTTCACTGCTCAAATTGCAAAGTATGATTCATCAGAATGTTCAAGTCATTGAAATTTTCTATCTCTATTCATGATAATTATAAGATGGGAAAATAACAGTAACAGAAATTTTGATGCTTTTACTAGATATTATTTATGGCCATTAATTTTATGAGTAGGCAGTGATGAAAAATTATTTCTTAATTAATTTTATTTGAAGGTATAAATGCATCTTATTTGATGTCTCTAATTAGCAAGACATAAAAAATGGATTGACCATTAACTTTTGAATTAGTACATTGGTTTGAGTTTGTTAGAAATACTCAATACTTTTTGCTCCCAAGCTTTCAAAATTATTTCTCCTGACAATGAGCAAGTCACAATTTACGTACATCACTCACTCTAAGATTTATCCTCTTGAACACATGGATGTTAAGGGTACTTTTTATGTAGGTAACAATGTTTTTGACTATTGTTTCAGCCTACCTTGATGTTATCCTTTTGTTGACAAGTTTAAACACATTATACTCAAGTGGACAAATGAATGGTTGTATTTTTTTTGTTTGAGAAGAGAAGGTTTATGCCTTATCAGGAGCCTATAGGTTAAATTATCTACTGCTAATGCCTAATGGCCTAATGCTAACTCAATTTAGACTTACCTTTTCCACTGACTGGACTAGCCTATAGGTTAAATTATCTACTGCTAATGCCTAATGGCCTAATGCTAACTCGATTTAGACTTACCTATTCCACTGACTGGACTAATAAGGATAAAATTATAGGCGGAATGGTAATAATATGCATTTAAAAATTACTTATTAAAGACAACACTTCTAAAGAATACAGTGTCTCCTATGTTACACATCTACAATGAATTTCTAATTTTATTTCCATATTAATAAAAATTATTTATTCTGTCAATTGATTCATGCCTTGTCTTCAACTTTGCACAAGTGTGCAAAATTTCAGGTTGATTGGACAGGTAAAAGTGTGTTGAATATCGATTATAAAATTTGTAGAAGAAAAAATTATTTTTTTTTAATTTTTCAAATTGCAAAAAAAATTGTTAATTTCAAAATTATATACGGTATTCTGTTAATTGATTAATGCATTGTCTTCAACTTTACGCAAGTGTGCAAAATTTTAGATCAATTGGACAGGTAGAAGTGTGTTGAATATTGATTATAAGATTTGTATCAGACAGATAAACAAACAGACAAGAAGTGAAGTTAAAGAGAAGTGTTGTAAAAAAGCTAAAGAAACACCTATTGGCATAATAAATGGTGGATAGAATGAGACTTTATACTAGGTCCTTATCTCTGCTGATGATTTGTTGTTGAAATCCCTTTTTAATTGAGACAAATACACAAATTCTTAATTTTTTGGCTTCATAAAGTTTAATTTTAAATTTTCTAGTACATTTTGATTTTACTGTTTTCATCCATTGTCAATACCATCCCTCATCTTTTTTATAAAGATTTCAGATGAAAATATCTTGCTATTTATTGTGCCATTGATTCTACGTTTAACATCCATTTGATGAAATCAACAATTTATATAGATATATTTTATACTTCTCTGCATAAAAAACTTCAATTTAGCCCAAGATAATTTCTGTATGGTGTGGTAAAGAAATTAACTTCCAACAACATCTTGAATTTATGAAGAAATTAATGTATATCAAGCATTGAGTGTTTGAGCACTGACTTGCCAGATTTTATAGAAGAATGAATTGGAAATTTGACATGAGCTCAATCCCATTTTGAGTGGATGGATACGAGGAACAAATTGGAGCCATGCACGGATGCTATAAATGCTGTGATAACCGCCAGTGACGATCATGTTGACCAGGAATGTTCTGGCAGGAACATGGCCACTGTGGTCAATATGGTGACAAGTGGTCTGAGCCAAAATAACACTACAAACTCTCCTAAGCAATCTTGTAACAATGGCTCTTCTGTCTGTTCTTCAACTGTCATTGCATCAACTGCTGATGCCACTGGCATCAGTGCCTCATCTTCTAATGATTCTCCTACTCATTTATCCATTAATTGTACAGAAACCGGAAAGATTTTGTCCAACTTACTAATTGCCAAAATACCTGATATTGACTCCAGTGATGTTTCTCCTTCAACTACCTCCATAGTGAAATATTCTGTGGCAACAAAAATGAAGGAAGTCTGTCTTGACAATGAAGAAAACCTTGCCTTCTTTTCTGCTTCACTTGAAGGTACAACAAACTCTGACCATTTTGTATGCAATGACTCATACGGCTCCATGGATGACAAGTCAGAGTTGTCTGGAAACAACATTTCTGCACTCAACAATGCAGAAGTTGAAGTGGAACCAGAACTTACAATTGTGGAGACATCTAATCAACCAAGCACAAGTCTTGGTGAGTGATATAAAGATTTTTTTTTTGTCTCTGTGTGTCTCCCATCATGAAGAAAAATTATAACATAACTTGTAATTTATTATTTTAGGGCTGAAGTTGTTATAGAAAATGCACATATATATAAATGTACATGGCTCTGCTGCTGTGTGCATTTAATATATTGAATTTTTGAAGCATAAATATGTAAGTACCGGTATAAGTCCCTTTGAAAAATAAGTGTTTTCATTAATGAAACACACATTCCTAGTAATTTTTTTAAATATTTATTTTTTCATTAATTCGTCATAAATGCATTGATAGGAGCCTTGGTGCAGCAGGAGTTTTTGCATACATCATAGTTTCAGTTAGTCTATAAAAGATGAAGCTCATTTATAAGCAAGTTAACAATGTTTGTGAATGTAATGTTGTCTATCTATTTGACAGACACAAAGACCTGTTGGCCATTGGTTGTGCATCTGTTGCCAACTTCTGGGCAGCAACAACAGCAGCAGCAGCAACAACAGCAACAGCAGCAACAAGACCAGCAGCAGCAACAACAGCAACAAGATCATCAGCAGCAACAACAGCTGTTGCAGCAGCAGCAGCAACAACAGCAACAGCTGCAGCAACAGCAGCAACAAGACCAGCAGCAACAATACCAGCTGCAACAACAACAATACCAGCTGCAACAACAACAGCCGCAGTTGCTTGTGCACTTTCCGCAGCTTTACGAAGCTGACCGGCAGAAAGGATGGCTTGGGCTCTACGCTGCAGGTCAGTACAAGATTCTTCATGCCTTCCAAATCTGCATTTTCTTTACGACAACAGCAGCAGCAGCAACAACAGCCGCAGCAACAACAGCAGCAGCAGCAACAACACCAGTCGCAGGAACAGCAGCAACAATACCAGCAACAGCAGCAACAACACCAGTTGCAGCAACAACAGCCGCAGTTGCTTGTGCACTTTCCGCAGCTTTACGAAGCTGACCGGCAGAAAGGATGGCTTGGGCTCTACGCTGCAGGTCAGTACAAGATTCTTCATGCCTTCCAAATCTGCATTTTCTTTACGTTTTTTAAACATCGAACATTAATTGTGTTTCATGGAGCATTATTAATGGGATACCTAATTTAATTATATTGATTGTTTGCTCTGCCTTTATTTTATCTTAAGATTGATTTTAGTCTGTTTGCTTTTTTGGCGCATTTTCTCATTTATGGAAAAAAGGCGCTATTGTGCTCGCCATGTCCGTCCGTCCGTCTATCTGTCTGTCCGTCCGTCCGTCCGTCCGTCCGTCCGTCCGTCCGTGATTTTACATTTTTGTCGGCAAGAAAATGCGCTCTCTGTCACTCACTGCAGTGAATACCGAGTTATATTTTTTTTACCGCTGTTTAGTAGCATTGCTGTTATGAACAAACGTCCCGGCCTGCTTATGCTTGTGGTTAGAGAACCAAGGACACTTCGGGTGTTTTGGGTGGAAGTTCTACATCATTCCTACCAAATTTTAAAAATTGGTTGTAGAATATTGGAATAATTTATTTTGAAAAACGAGCAAAATGGATGGGTATAGGCATTCACTAGAATTCTTCCGATTCAGTTTAATATGATAGATAGTATCTTTATCTTGGGCGTATTGGTAACACACAGGGTGGCCCAGTAGTTAAAGTTCAGAGTACAAAGATTGGAGCAGAGAGGCGCGGGTTCGATCCCAGCTCTGTGCTCCAGTTTCTGGTCAGAATCGGCGAGGAGGCCGGGCGGTTAAGCACAGCAGAATTGGAGCAGTGAGTTGTGAGTTTGAGACCGCAACAAGCTGTGAATGTTCTGCGATGTTCAAGAATCGGCAACAGGCCTACGGCCTAATAAACGCTGAAACCGCTATAAACCGCTATTACGCGCGGTTAAAGGAATACCATCGCGCCAGTTACCAGTATAGCGCTGGCTGCCGTGCAGTGAGGGTGTGTGACGCTACCGCTCGGCAACCTTCAGAAGAGATCGCGTTGTTCGTCCATGTGGTTGTCTTACCTGGGCTCGGAATTGTATCCATCGTCATAGCCGTGTCACTTAATTTTCGTGGGTGAGATTTCTCAATGATGTGCAGTACCGGTACCATGAATTATATTTACTCAAAAACTTGTAAATATAATAAATTTTAAATGAGTGAATTGCTTGGGTTGAAATTTCACGTGGTTTTGTGAACGATTATTCTATTTATTTTCATCAGTTCATGGCTTAATTAATGAATGCATTTTACATTTTTCTTCTTGTTTTGGATGAATTTAAGGCAGGGTGTGTTTATTAATTTCGCGATTATGGTATTACGAGATTTGATCGACAGAGATAGTGAACGCTCGCAACGTGGTGGTGCAACCTCCTAGTGCACTGATAGTGAGTTAATAGGCAATCACTATGACACTATCAGTGCACAATCACTCCGCTCAAATTGGCTACTTGGTCTGGGGTTTAGAGTAGGAATGAAAAATTGATTAAGACCAATCATGTATAAAAAAATCGACAAGTACACTATTCATTCACTAAGAAGACTAATGTCGTGCAAGCTCTAATGTTTGACTGGAGTGTTTTGAACATCCTTCTGGTCATATCTGATCCTTCGGGCCATATTCGATCCATCTGACCATATTCCTGGGCAATCTTCTGATCAAATACTAGAGCAAGCTAGGGACACTCACGCAATACTGTGGGTCAAATCCCACGCAATCCGGACCGCGTGGTCAGAGCGTGTCGCCTGCTGTGCCTGCGCGCGCTGCTGCAGACGCGGTGGCTGCAGGCGCTTGCNACATGTAGTGCCGCCTGCAGCGTCGCATGCAGTGACACATGTAGTGCCGCCTGCAGCGTCGCATGCAGTGACACATGTAGTGCCGCCTGCAGCGTCGTCTGCAGTGACACATGTAGTGCCGCCTGTTGTGCCAAGTGATGTATGTGATGATGGGTGTTGGTTGGTGCATAGTTCATGTTATGATGGCTCTGATATGTCTTTTCTAAGATATCAGTTATCATGAGATCTTCATCAAGAAGATATCTCCTACGAACGCTCTTAAAAAATACTTATTATTCCTTTTTATGAAGTGATGATGTTCTCTTGTGTTTTTATGATGTTGTCTTGTGATAACTGTTCGAAATCCTTCTGTTATGTTATCTTGAAGTGCCTCTCATCTGATGGCGCTTGTGATGGCTCTCATGTGATGTGACTTAATAAGATTCCTCTTATGTGATGTTTTTTTTTTGTATGTAATGACGGCTATGTTTTGATTATTCACGATCGGCTGCGTATACCGTATAGATATGATACAGTATAGATGCGTATACCGTATGTATAGATGCGTATACAGTATAGATGCGTATACAGTATAGATGCGTATACCGTATAGATGCGTATACCGTATAGATGCGTATTCCGTATAGATGCGTATACCGTATAGATGCGTATACCGTATAAATGCGTATACATGACGATAGAAATAAAATGCTAATCTGAAGAACCGAATGTAGCTGTATCATTCATATGAATAAATCAGCTGTTGTATCTGAAGTTTCTTTTTATTGATGCTATAGAACCCCATAGCTATTTTTATATCAGACATTATAATCTTTCTGCAATCGCCTTCTGCACCGCGTGGCTCCTACACGTGCCTCGCCTCTGTCTCTAGTGCGGTAAATCCTGTTATCGATTTTGAGGTTATTTTTATATCAGGAACCTATATATCTTTTAGAATTGAGATCAACATGTTAAACTGTGTTCCATGAGAATCACCTCGTGGAATTATCTTCAGAACTTAGACTTACTAATACCACCGGTCGTAAATGCATTTTTTCAACCAATGTCTATTAATAGTTTAATTGTCGCGAATATTATTTTAATAATACTTACGAACGAATAACGGAATTCTTGTAGTGCAGACAGTATTCATTCGTGGTTGTGGATCCACGAATTGACATCGTTATAGATGCTATACGATGACTGCAGGCCTTTTACAGGACAAGCCCTGCATAGCTCAGACTATAACATATGGCCGACAGTTAACAGGCGCGGGAGAGTTGACGGAAAAAAGAGATGTCTCCGGAAGCGACGCGGTTATACCGCTTACATGCCCCTGTATTTATACCCGTGAACGAGCACACCGGAAGTTGCTACATGCCGGCTGTGGGGCTGTTTCATATATATAGACCAATAGGGCGCAAGCAGTCGGAAATTCTTAGTCGGTATATGAGCGTCCGGCAAAGGGAAACTAAAACACGGATGTCTGCTCCAGCGGCTGCGAGAAAGTTGAAGCTCCATATGATGCGGATCTTGTTGAGGCAGGACAGACTGGACCGGTTGCTGCGGCTGAGAAACCGTCATAGGCTTGCACTCAATTCTTACTTTGCTGAACCAGTGAAAGCTACTTCCGTTTTCAAAATAAATGTCTCACTGAATGAGCTCAGCTTGGTGCTCTTTAATAGAATTTTTTAAATTTTCAGATGTCTGTAGAGGATCACGTATGCGCTGTTGGAATGCACTTTGTAATGAACTTCGGTGTTATGCTTATGTTTTTATCTCGACAATTACAACGTGAATGAACGTGAAAGGAAAAATGCATGGAAGTCTTTGTTGTATCGTGATATGAGTTTGTTTTAACTGTTAATTCCCGGATATCCTGTAGTTTAGTCGTACACAATTGCTTGTGTGTCAGGAAACAAAGTCTGTACACATACGGGCATTGTTCCGCATGCAACAATCCCTTTGCTGTGCAGTAGGTACACCATATTACTAGCGCTCTGCTTTACTACGGTCAGACGGTATTTATTGCACTCTCTATGGCTTTGGTTCGGCTTTTTTGTTGTGACAACATTACCATGCAGTATGTAATTCTGGTTATGTAACCTATGTTACCCTAACTGAGAATAGTACAAGATCAGATCTGTGATTTCTGTTCGATACGCATTTAAGTAAAATATTATATTCATGAGCATCATTTTGATCAGCAAATACTAGCACCTCGCAGAACTCGATCGGTGCTTTCTCAGCAAACTCGCTCTTCTCAGCGAGACGTTCATACTTAAGTGCGTAGGGATACATTACATAAGTCGTCATTCGTTGCTCCGTATCATGTATGGGTGTTTCAGCCATAAAAACGTTATCTATTAAGTACAGCTCGTTTGGTGTATTTTATGGCAACCAATTGTTGAAGCACGTTATCTGAACGAGGTGGAGATATGGAGGGGAACGCTAGAGTGCGCGCTTCCTTACTCTGCTTCTGGTGCTGCTCTTTAATTCGCTCTTATTTATTTACTGTGCATGGTTTTTCTATCTGCATGCAAGTCATTGTATTTTTAGCGCATTTTCTCATTTATGGAAAAAAGGCGCTATTGGGCTCGTCATGTCCGTCCGTCTGTCTGCCTGTCCGTCTGTCCGTCCGTCCGTGACTTCACGTTTTTGTCGAGAAAATGCGCTCTCTGTCACTCACTGCAGTGAGTACTGAGTTATATTTTTTTTTCTTACGCTGCGTTCGCCATATTCCTGCCGGTTTAGCCGTCTACCCGGAGGTCACGGCTAGAGAGGGGGCGGGTGGAGGGGGGACTCGCTCCCGGATCTCACCGTGTCCGAGTGTTGAGTCGAGTACAAATAACTGCAGAAATATTACATGCCAGTCTCGTGGTCATGAGCATATAAATTGCGATACATCGTCTGCTGTTTTCATAAAAAATTCTCTTAAAAAAAAACGTCGAAGTTATTTCATAAATAATTCTCACGATAAAACAACGTCGAAGTTGTTATTTCATAAATAATTCTCACAAAAAAACAACGTCGAAGTTGTTAATTCATAAATAATTCTCACGAAAAAACAACGGCGAATATTTTTTCATAAATAATTCTCACAAAAAAATGTCGAAGTTGTTATTTCATAAATAATTCTCACAAAAAACTACATCGAAGTTGTTATTTAGATTTTTCTTATTTAAATGATTAATTTTTCACAATTCGAAGTTGGCCGCTAATGGTGGATGCTTACCGAAAACCTGTATTTATAGGAGTTTGCTCTATGTTGCTCTCATCTTCTTTACGACGATGATGAATTATCTAAATTACTTCAGGAGAATTTCAATGAAGATAAGAAAATTAGGTGGATTATTGGATTAGCTTATAACGTCTCAACGGTCTCATGTTTATTAATCATAGATAAAGTTAGATTTGTTCAAAGCGTAGTGTTTTTTTTTGTATATATAAATGCTTTACTGTAAAATAATCCCCAATTATAAATTATTCGATTGTATTGAATTATAAGTTTTTTAATCAATATATTGTCACTCATACTACACAAGGCTGATAAATAATGTCTCGCGTGCCTGCTTCATTGCGTTCACAAGTGTTGTAGAAATAGCGCTTGAAGAGTCGACTTTTTGATAGCCTCTTCTAAGCGCTTGTGTTCTGGTAAGAATGACGCTGTAAAAACAAGAAATTATAATGGGATATTTGCAAACTGAAGTGCTTAAGCATGATCTTAATACTTTACAATACACAATACAATACACTTTGAGAATTAAGGGTATCTCATAACCTTTTGTCTGCCCCGGTAATTCTCGATACGTACCTGGCTTATTGGTACTAATTACTTTTTTATACAACCCTCAGGTCCGAGATTAAATTTCGGTAATCAAGTGCATGGTTGATATATTTCCAGGTTGGTTTATGTCTCCACATCGTTGGATGTTCTCAGCTGCACTGATAGAAATTATCTGTTCGTTGTCCTGGTTTCGTTGCACTTTTTGATTTTGTGTGGGTAATCCGGTTTGGGCCAGGAACAGGCAAATAAATTCTACGTTCGCTCTCTGCTTGTATTGTGGGTAAGAAAGTGTGTCATTAATTGGACAATGCCATATTTTTCTGGGTGTGGTAATTAAATTAACGTTGCGTTAGTTTGTGACTCTAGCATCTTACTCCTGAAAACCTCGGGTGTGAACTGCACAGTATAGCAATAGCTCACTCACAATAATGAATGAATGAGTTATATTGTCCAAATATTAACAATATGATACGCCCTTTTCCGGACTAAACTGGGTAAGGATGATCTTCACAGGTGTAAAAAAGTAATAAAATTAATCTCTTTCTGGACGAAGTCTCTTCATTTCTGTGAGTGTTGAAGGTTTACTCTTATTCATGTGATGGTATATTAGTCTCAGAGGCTTGTTGGTTCGTCATCACTTTACCCCATCCTTCCTCCAACATTTCGTCTCATTACCTCTTTATTACCTCTTTTATCTCTTTGGACACAACCTTGCCTAATGACCTCTTCTGCCCCCCCCTCTCCTCCCCACGCTCCCCCTGGTGTGGGAGGGGGGGAGGGGAGGTCGCCGGAAGTTGACCGCGAGACTCCCACACACGTTGGGACCTCCCCCCTTCCCCCCGCTCCCCCCCTTCCTCTCGAAGTCGCTCTTCTTACCTTTTATAGTCAACTTCCAGGACTGTTTTTATGCCGGGTTACGCGATGCCCCCAGATTCTGTCCTGCCATACTTTACTACTTGGGGATTAATTTAGTAGGATTTATTATATGATTATTATATACGATAAGAACCATGTCATCTATGATAATAATTATATCGTCTATGATAGTAATAATATTATCTATAATAATAATCGTATCATATATGATATTAATCATATCATCTATGATATTAATTATATCATCTGTAATAATTATCATATCACCTATGATAATAATCATATCATCTCTAATAATAATCATATAATCTATGATAATAATCTTATTATCTATGACAATAATAATGTTATCTATAATAATAATCATATAATCTATGATAAGAATCATATCATCTATGATAATAATCATATTATCAATGATAATACTAATTAATTTAGTTGTAGAGAACCTTGGTATCACATTACCAGGCTGGAAAGATGACATAACACGAGACCTTGACGGCCGACGACTCAGGGCTGACCAACTAACCTTTTGTGTTAGTCTGCCGCATCGAATATTTTCCTGCCTTCCTCGTATTTTTTAAAAGAAACTAAAAAATTTCTGGGCAAAATTGGGGAATAAATAAACAACCGCAACGGAAAGAGTGAATTAATAAAGAATAAAGAAAAGGAATAATTCAACGTCAACGAAACGAAACCTAATTTTTTTGATCGTAGAGTGCAATCTCTGTCGCGAAAAATTCACGTCAGTCAAATATCTTTGATAGTAAAAGAGTTCCCGATTCCGTGATTTCAATGGCTATTCAATACAATGACCTTGCTTATTCAGACTATGTGAAAATAATAAATACATGTTTAGTAAGTTTTATTACACGTCGTGAAAACGCGAATAATTTTAGCCAGGCGACCTCGAACACGACAACTCATTGAATTTGAATGTTCAAATTACTATACAAAATATCCAGTACCGCCATCAACACCACATCATCACTACTTCCGTGACGTTCATTCATCAGTTGCGGGAGCAGCTGCTATACGAACCTCCCTCTCCAACCCTTCCCTACCCCAACATCCCCATATAATTTGGATTCGTCTAATGCCTCTCAAAATATCAGCATAAACCTTTACAATTAAATCACTTGCAAAGGAAGATGTTCCCTGACCAGGCGACTGCCGGACCTAATGGAACTGGAGTTTAGTTTTTATGATTATGTAGGGTTTTAATCTTTATTTATTTAAATTGATTTAAAATCCCGATTTTCAAGAAATTTGTGACTCGTGTAGCAGCTGCTGCCGCAACTTATGAATGAACGCCACGGAAGTAGTGATGATGCCGTGTCCTTGATGACGGTGGTGGTGACGCGACGTGTGGCAGCTGCTGTTGCTGCTTCTGCTTGCCTACTTCATTCATTAATATTGTGTTTACTACACGCAACCATCGGCATGAATGAGGTACGAGCGTTCCAGTGTCGTATAAAGTTCATGCCTGTAACATGAATGTTACGTGACTTTACTAAAATTTTAATACAATTCATAATAACAGTAATAATAATTCTATAGGATAATTTTAATACCTTCACAATAATTTTACATACTATCCACCTCTGTGTGTTTATCAAGTTTGATGTATTTATTTTTTTTTGCACCACGTGTCCGTATTCGTGTAACTGTCCGCGTATATTAATCATTATAGCAATAATAATAATTTAATTGAATCATTTTAATACATTCAGAATAATTTTATATACCATATACCTTTGTGTGTTTATCCAGTTTGATGTATTTGTTGTTTTTTTTTTGCACCACGGGTGCGTATTGTGTGGCGTATATCAAAACCTCATGAGGCGTAGGTGGCATCCATTGGTTTACAATACCTCCCCTTAATTCCCTTCTCCTCCCCCTACTTCCTCCTACTCCCCTACGGTGGGGGGAGGGCAGGAAGCCCCCCAATAACCACGCCCTCGCAGCCCACGCATTACCTCACACGCGGGGAAGACTCCCCCACCCATTCCCAGCCCCATACACCTCAACCCTATTTCGAATTAATTGTTTTTAGTGCATTTTATCATTTATGAAAAAATGCACTATTGTGCTCGCCATGTCCGTCTGTCCGTCCGTCTATCTGTCCGTCTGTCTGTCTGTCCGTCCGTCTGTCTGTCCGTGACTTCACGTTTTCGTCGACGAGAAAATGCGCCCTCTGTCACTCACTGCAGTGAGTACTGAGTAATATTTTTTATGTAAGTTCCTCGGTTGCTACTTAATCATTACGCATATTCTCTGTTTTTATTCTGGACTATGGTCTTATGTTTCTTATGTCCTTAATTCTTATAACTTGCGCGTCCGTAGCTGCAACTTACATCACCATAGAAACCGTTCGCGACTTTTCAATTAAATTACACTGAGAGTCAAAATGATAATTTTTACTCTTGGCGCATGATAATTTTGTTTAAATGTATTATTTGTACTTCATTTGCTCCAAATGTCCTTGGAAAAACAAACCTTCAACGTTAAATCCAAGTGTTGAAGCGTGATGACGCGTGGAACTCGTGTACTATAGTTTTTCGTTATTGGAATGATTATAAGTGTTGGGTAATAATTACCGCTAGACGTTTCACTGCCAAGGTTTGCACAAAACTAACATATGCACTCTCAACGCAATCACACTCTTAAGACTCTCACCTGCACTCTCAACACAATCACACTCTTAAGACTCTCACCTGCACTCTCAACGCAAGCACACTCTTAAGAGTCTCACCTGCACTCTCAACGCAATCACACTCTTAAGACTCTCACCTGCACTCTCAACGCAATCACACTCTCAAGACTCTCACCTCCACCACCCCCCTCCCCCGGTCCAACACCTGCGGACGCTCTCACGCTCGCGTCGTCTCATCCATCCGCTAATCTGTGTCGCTCTTCCGGCGTCCGCGCGCCGGTATCCGCGCTTTCTGTCGGCGCGCTTCCGTCACTCCGCTGGGCGGGACGGTCTGTGCGTCCGGTTCCTGTCGTGTGTCTTTGTCTGCAGAATGTGCGCCTCTCTGTGTCTATCTGCCTGATAGTCTTTTAGTCCGCCTGTCTGTCTTTCTGTGTGTCTGTCTGTTGGTATATCTCTGTTGGTTATATCTGTCTGTCTGTTAGTATTTATTTGGGACTGTCTGCCTGTTAGTCTTTCTGTTTGTTTATATTTATGTGTGTCTGTCTGCCTGTTTGTCTGTATGTTGGTAAATCTGAATGTCTGTTGGTATTTATGTGTGACTGTGTGCGTGTTTGTCTGTCTGTCAGTCAATCTGTCTGCCTGTTTCTTTTTATTGCGTCTATGTGCGTCTGTTTGTCTGTCAATCGATTTACCTGATCGCTGATGTATAAATATATTATGCTTAGCAATAGAGCTTGTCCCTATACAGGCACTCACTCGCATTCTCTGTGCAGAAGACAGTGGCTGTAGTGAGGACTTGGCTCGCTTCCCCCTGGGCGGTGACGAGGGTTGCCCTCTGGTCTGGACTCTAGATCTCACCGCCCTCGTGGCTCTTAGTAAACGTGAGGGATCATTTTAGTTATAGGAATTATTGTTAGGGATTATTTATTTAGTCTGATGCATAAATTATTGGAGCATATACATCTTCAATAGTTTAGCATTAAATAAGTTATTTGTTTTCAGACGAAGTCACCTGAAAGTGTCACATGAATATTCTGTCACGAACTCAGGATGTGGAGATGAGGATTTGTAGGTCCGAGTTCATGAGTATTTGCAGATATTAATTTCTATGAGATTATTAAAGTACCGATCATTGCAGGCGGATGCGGTGCTCTTGTCGTGCGTCACATCCACGACGAAACCATTCATGCCGCCTCTGCACCATTCCATCTCAAACTTCTACACAGCCTAGAACAAAACGAAGTGGAAGCTGAACTGCTGCTAGGAGAAGGCAGTTTGCAGGCAGACAGTCAACGTTTGGATCAATCTCACCAAAAATCTGCGGTTAAAGAAATTATCTCTGAAATATCATCTGTGAATGAGAACGCTCATAAGTGTTTAGTTTCGGACTCTATCTCCGGTGATACAGAATCCACTTCTATTCGGTGTACGCCTGATTCTGTAGATGAATTACAAAATTCGAGATATAAGGAGAAAGCTGCATCTTTATATTCTCCTGAAAATGCAATAGACCTGGTAACCGATTCTGGCCATGGAATCAAATTGAAATGTGCGCAAGATGAATCAAATAATAAGTCTATGACAGTGGCGTCCGTTGAAGAACCTGCATTTGCGTGCAATTCCATCGTTGCGCTTGAATCTACCGGCAACTCTTCGTCAAAGGAATTTGTTGAAAATTCCGTTACTTCTAAGTGTCACAAAGAATCCTCATCTTGCGGTTGTGCATCCGATGTGTTAGAAGAAAGCGTTCCGTGTAAACCTGTTCTTAATTCGATTGCTGCCAAAGAGACGAGTTCGGCAGTCGCGAGTGTTGTATCTGCCTCAGACTCGTCTGATGACGAAGCATGCCAACGAGTGTTGACAGAAGTGGGTGGCTCATGTCCATATCTACTGAAGTTTTCCATTAAAAACATCGATTGCGTTGGCTTGAAAAAATGGCCGTTTTGTAGCGACGATCCACACGTAAAGTTGCGAGTTGTTCCCTCATTGATCTCTGAAACTCCGGCAACAACGACGCCGTGGTTAGGTCGTAGTAGGAGTGCCAGCAAAGGTAAAACTAATAACCCTAGTGTTGTGAGAACTTCAGGGTGTGATAGTAACGCTGCTAGTGTCCATAAAGTGAAGTCAGTGAGCGAGTCTGAAGACGATAAACCAAGGCACGAGAAACGAGCAACGTTGCTCCCTCACCATCGTCTCGAGATCAAAAGCCGCCTTTCCGAAACCAAAATTAACGCTGTAAGTCAGGCCTACTCTTGTCATAACTTTTCTTTATAGCAATTACTTTTTTAATTTTAGGGTTAATTAGCTACGAAGCTATGATTTTCAAACTTGTGTGGTTAGTTAGTAAATATTTGGTGCTTATACATGTTGATTATAATTATAAATTTTCATGTTGCTTTTGCATTCGGAACCTAATTTGACCAAATTGCCCATGTGCACTACGTAGCTAGTGTGGCGGTCAACGTAGTGCATAATTTGTATCTAGTCACGTCTAGTCAATTTGTATCTAGGTCATAAGGCTCACGTGAGGCTGGTTTCCAGGTGCAGCTGCAGGGGCACGTGTCTGAGTACGTGCAATTATCCGTTAAGTCGCGCCTTGGGAGATCAGGGCCGGGCTTTACGCGGCATCACGGCACTACTCTTGTACCTCTGGCACTGCTGCGTCACAAGGCGATTGGGTACGTAATTTCCTCAGTACTACTCTCGTACCTCTGGCACTGCTGCGGCACAAGGCGATTGGGTACGTAATTTCCGCAGTACCACTCTCGTACCTCTTGCACTGCTGCGGCACAAGGCGATTGGGTACGTAATTTCCTCAGTACTACTCTCGTACCTCTGGCACTGCTGCGATTGGGTACGTAATTTCCGCTGTAGCCATCTCTACCTCTGGCACTACTGTGACATAAGGCTATAAAGTACGTGAATTCCGCAGTACTACTCACGTACCTCTGGTTATGCTGCGGCACAAGTCGTTTGGGTACGTAGATTTCTCGTCGCTGTAATTGTACCTCTGACACTGCTGCGACGCGAGGTTATGCCAACATGAGCAAAAATTTCTTTACCAAGTCAAATTAAATATATATGGTTTCTAAACGCCAGCTTTCCAAAGTGTAGTTTAGCGGTAAATAATAGTAGAATAATTAGTTTTAGTAGTTTTGTTCGTATGTACAAATTTAAGAGCTGTGATTATTAGACATGATAATCGATCATCAAATTCTGATCCTGTGTATCTAATATGTTTACAGGAGCACGGGCTTCGAACACTGCTTTGCGCTGTCGTGTAGCTCTGCCCCGTCGGCTGCAACGTCTTCGAAGTGTCTTCCAACTGAACTTGCTTCAGCTGGTCACATCTCTTTCAGCGTTGCCTTCAGCCCACCACCCGTGCCCTCAGAGGAACCTTGCACTCACCATCAGGGCTTGAAATGCCCCTGGGACAACAACCATCTTGCTGGGACTGATAGCGATCGTGGTATTGAAAATAGTTCAAACGCTGTTACTACTTCAGCTGACGCCTCAACTTACAAATCTTCGTGCTTTCGTAATTTGAGTTCCGAGAATGTGACGAATAACAAAGTGCTTGAGGAAACTCTTCCTTCAAACCAAAGGATAAACAGCCAAGTTCTCAGTCTCGGCAACACAATGAAGCTCGTCGATGACGAAGGCGGGCGCTCATGTAGCCCTGTTGTTACGGTCGGCAGCGATTGTGGTCTTCACAATGATCTTAATCAATCGGTCACGCCTAGATCACGACCATGCAGTCGAGATCTTTCTCTTGACCGATCACGCGAATCTGAATGCGTCAGGTTTGAAAGTCCCGTTGACGTGTCGGGTCCAGAATCGTTGTCTTCGAATGAAGCCACAACGAACGTTCCTTGTCACTCAAGAGGATCCTCTACGGACTCGGCCATAAACGGTAACGAAATTTTGACTGAGGCCACTAATCTTGTGAACCGAGCTCCGACAGGCTTTGATAGAGGAAATTTACAAATTATAAGCAAGAAAAAACTTGAGAGTAAAGTAAACAAAACGAAGGATGATGGCAGCGAAGTGTTGTGCAAAAGTTCAAAGGGCGTTTATACGAAAGCCGAACGGGATATTCTGCTCATGAACGGTCATGTCATACAAGGAAAAGAGGCAATTCAGAAAACTCTCCTCACAAACGGTTATGACGCAAAGTTGGCTAAGGAAAATGAATCCTCTAGAATACACATCGGAGAACCAAAAACGAACCTTGCGTTAAAAATGAAGAATGTCGTCAGTAAAATAAATGTCAAAGATTCTGCGGACTTTGTGCGTGGTGAATCTGACTACTCCCCTATCTGGAAGTATTCTAGCCGCAAGTTGGAAATGGAAGACGGGAAACGCAAGAAAGAGGTTATCTACGAGACTGTGTATCCTATGGACGACCTGGATGATGCGAGCTCGTGCCTCACCAGTTCGGTGGAGTCCATTGCATCAGGTGCTCCTGAAGAGGCGCCCCTCAGTGGGGATGGCTCTTCTGAAGACAATCCTCCTCCTCTCCCTCCACGCACAAAGTCTTTGACTAAATCCTCTCTTTCAGGATCTGGTCATAGACCACTGGAGCGGCGCATGGCTTTGCCTTTCTTGGCCCATAAAAGAGCTGTACCAGGACCTCCTTTGGACCGACTCAATAAACCCAGTGACAAACGAACAAAACTTGACCGGAAACTCGACGATGACGAGACACTCGAATCGGCGGTCCTGGTGACTGGGGTTGTTGAGGGTCCAGAAAGAGTCGCGGTGGCTCCCAAACCCGTTCAACGCTGCAAGCCTTCTGCGGCCGACGAAGCCAGACCCAACGCTAACGTATCACGCACTTCCAGTGGAGGAGACAGCGTCCAGTCTGAGCCAAGTGTGAGGCCCAAACAGACTGCAGCTGCCATGAGAACTGAAGCGGACCAAGATAATTCTTTTTCATACGACATAGTTGACCTGGACGAAGTTGGAGGCAGTTGCAGTTCTCTCGGTTCTAGTGCAAGTGCGAGCTGCCTTGAGAACCGCTTCGAGAGCACTGCATGTCCTGTGAATTTGATGAGTACTGAGCAGAACACGATTAAAATTGTCGAAAAAAATAGAAATGCCTTACCTGGTGATATTGACTGCAAAAATCCGGATTCCAATTTAAAAAATAGATCTCAAAGGACGTCAGATGAACCGTGTTCGCATTGTAATTATTTACATTTGAAGAAGGACTGTAATGTCGATAGAAGCGGTGATGTATCTTCCGCTTTGCTTTGTTTTTGCAAGAGTTGGGCGAGTAGTGACGGAAGTGAAGCCGACATAGTGGCAAGTGAAGACGCTCGTTTAAGTTCATGTCCTCATGTGATAACTGAGTCTAGTCAAGGGCAGCACAAACCGGTATCCACTGTTGATCCCGATAAATCTAGTTTGTTTCATAAATGTGGAAAGAGTTCGCACCTCGAGGACACGCCTTGTAAACCAGATCTCATAGAAGTAGTTACGAATTCCGGGAACGAAACTGAGACGAATAATGAAACCCAGAGCATCATGTCTGCAACCACTCCGACATCTGAGGAGCCTACCAACGACGAAACTTTTCACGCAAGTGAAAGTGAATGTAACGCGACCGTGAGCAGCTCTAACTCTCCCGTCCGACGTGTCCGGGACACTGTGAGGGGACGTAAGCGCAGCACCTCGTCTCATCGTCGAGCGAGCGACTCATCCACAAGATGCCCCAGCAGCACCTCTCGCCCCGCAAGTTTATCTTCCCATGCCCCAAGCGACTCGCCCCACCGCCTTAGCGGGTGCTCTCAGCAGAGCGACAGCTTTCCCGAGCCTTACTGGGGGCACGAGCGCGAAGACCTCATGGTGGGATGCTCCGAGTCTACGTGCATGGTGACGAGCGTGGCATCTTCCACGTCGAGTTCGGTGTTCGCCAGTCCAACATTGGAGAACTGCGTGCTCGTGCCTTCGTCCATCGAGAGTGTTTTGGCGGATCAACACGCTCTGGATTGCGGGATTCTATCGTCTGCAGTGAGCGAGGTCACGCGAGAGAGCGCCACAGCTTTGTTATGTCATATCGATGCAAACAACGATGGAAGCAACACCTACGATGCTCACCCCTGCCAGTCGCTGCATCACAGCAGATGCTGTGCCTTGTCCGTAACCCGAGAGGAGGACCACATTTTTGCACTTAGCCAAAGTTCTCCTGACCATGAGCAGGAAGACGAGGAGCCTCCCGCAGTCCCTCCCCATCGGCCAAATTCTTCGATGCTAAATATTCTACGGTGTCCTGACTTGCCTGATAGGTCACTATCGCAAGGGAGCCACACGCCCAGGCCCCCTGAGCGGACCACCAGCGAAGGACGTGTTGTGCACGTTGGTAAGGTGCCTGATGGAGGCACTGGGGCGAGGGAAGCGTCTGATGCAGGCACTGGGGCGAGGGAGGCACCTGATGAATGCACTGAGGCGAGGGTGGCGTCTGATGCAGGCACTGAACCGAAGGAGGGAACGCTGGACGTGGAATGCGCTCGCATTCCACTCGCATCTCCACGCTCGCATCTCAAGCTCGCTCCTGCAGCCGGCGACGCGGGTAAGTTGGTACTTGAAATTAAGACGGCTATGGCTCGAAATATATTTAAGGTCTATTTTTGTTGCATGAATATTCTTTTGTTGTGAGAAGCACTATAAGTAATTGTTCTACACGAGAGAGAATGCGTAAAAGTTTTATTCTAGTTTTTGCTTCAAATTCAGGTTACAGTGAAATTAAACTATAGGTTCATTGTTTATTACGGTATTATGTATTTTTTTAATTTTGTCACATGTTAAAGATTTAACCTACGTTCCACTGCAGAAACACTACCCCAGTCCTATCGAGAAGCAACCGATGTCCTCTCAGCTGTTCTCGACGCCAGGTCAGTTATTCTTACCTTAAAGATGTCCTGCTCTATACGCAAAATGATTTGCTTATATTGCTTTAAATTATGTAGGTATAGGTTTTACGTTTGTATTTTTCAATGAGTCACAAACATTCATATTTTACTCGAGCTGCCAGATTCATCAAGAGACGCATGAAGTCGAAGTAAATCAGTAGCATGACTCCTAATGAATTTCCTCTTTTTTTACTGCGAATTTCGTTCTTAGTTACTCAGTGCAACTACTGTCACTATCATGGTAAGAGCTCTGTAAGTACTTTTAAGTTTTGAATTTTTCGTTTTCCAGCGCTCCTGCAAACTGCTACAGCCAGCTGTGGACCATCGATTCAGGGACAACACAGCGGGAGACGTCAGGCGCAGAGCAGAACGTCTCATCAACCTCAGTTGAGTCTGGCAAATCTGAAGCACGGGTCCCTGTTGCACCGCCACGGCCGAGCAAGATGGCTGCTACTGTCGAGACTGAAAATCAGACAGTGACTAGTGTTCAGTCAGAGAACAACACGGTGGCCGCGGCCGAGGCCTTGAATCTGGAAAAAACTGTCGAAGCAAAAGACTGTTTTTCATCTGAAGAAAGAACGAGTGATGCAGGTCAATCAATTTCTTCTGATGTAAGAGAAAGTGAGGAGTGTAATGTTGATCCGAAACCAGAATTGGAGCTTGACGAAATGAGCGTGACCGAGGCTGGAGAAGCACCACAACCGATTTGCTGTGATGACGATGGTAATGATGGTGACGCTGATGTTACTGTTCGTCAAGATGCACTGGCAGATGTGAATAGAATTGTCGATGATGATGTGACGTCACCACGCAGCAAGACGTTCTGCAGGAAAGTGGCTTACTATGGCAACAAGCGCCGCGACTCCTGGCACCAGATACGGGCCTCCCTCGACGCTTCTGCCTCCGTCGGGAGTTCGGCTGCAGCATCCGATGCCAACGATGAATCGCGCGACTCTTCGTCTCCTCCAGCTTACCCGTGTGAACTTTCATCCTTGAACAACCCACAAGATCCCTCGTCTGCTTTTGGTGACGCCACCGACGCCGCATCAGCTCTTGACTGTGATGTCAACTCCTCGCTTTCGACGCACCACTACGAGGCAATTTCAGGCGTCACCTCCGTCAGTTCATCACAAGCGTCCCGCGATTCGCATGTCCAATCACCTCCACCAGTTGACGCAGCTACTGTCATGTTATCGCTTAGAGGAGAATTTCCTCGAGCTGTCCGACCTTCTGACATTAATTCCCCTCAGTCAGCGAGGGTCGCCGCCTCCACGTATCTACCTCCTCGTGCAGCTCCTCCTCCTCTTCCCCCTCCTCGACCTGCAAGTCGCTCCTCGCGGGGCGTCCTCCCCCTGCCAGAGTGCCGGAGCTCAACTCCCCCTCAACTGCCGCCCCCTCTCTCGGGCACGTGTTTGGGGGGAGCGCGGGCCCGACACCAGGGATCCGGGTTACTCAACAATCAATGGGTAAGTAAGTAGTTCGGAATAAATTTTCCTTTTGCTTCTTGTTGCTCATCGACTTGATGTATTTTGTTTGTTGGTGGGCGTCTACCGAAAATGAACTTAATTCAAGTGTACTTTGAGTTTAAATGCGACCAATTTTAATTATTTATTTGCTCAATAGAACGAATTTGTATATTAACACTTTGTATATTAACAATTATTTTTGGATAAAATAAAATTCATATTTTTTATGCCGAACTCAGGCCTCTGCAGGAAGTCCCAGTGAAGAATCAGCTCCAGAAGACGGTCCTTTGGATGCTGCAGCTTCTGAAGAACGTGTTAGCGGTGCGTCCAAAATTAGATTTCACTTCATGGTATAAGATTCAAACAATGACGATCTTCTCCCATGCAAATACCTATCTCATTATTATCTCATATCTTTCGTGTTCGTAATCGAAAATTGTCTTTAGTTTGCCCTCTCAAGATTTTTCTTATTTAAGGAAGTTCTAAATATTTATCAATTCACGATGTTTTTAAGTTAAGCTTTGGGTTCTTATTCATTACAGACACATTAGGTCTGGGCACCAGAAGTCACGACACGAGTACGCGCCTTCCGTCCATCCCAGAAAGGAGCGTGAGAATGCAGCGAGTGAACATCCCTCCTGGGGAGGAACCTCTTCCCTCGAAGTGGGAAGCTCGTATAGACACTCACGGTCGCATCTTCTACATCGACCACGTGAACCGCACGACGACGTGGCTACGGCCGTCCTGTGCCACAGCACAGAACCACGTCTCCAACTGCCACAAACTGCAGCGTCAACAGTTGGACCGTCGCTACCAGAGCATCAGACGTACCATCTCGTCCAGACGCCCAGAACTTGATGAGCTTCCACCCACGCCCATGCAGGGACGATCGCCACTAGCACCTCTCTCTACGCCCGATCTCATCCCTCCTAACACGTTTGCTCCATCACCTCCTTGTTCATCATCGTTCGCTTCTCCTCCGTCATCCTTAGCACCTTCTCCTCCCACCATCACCCTTGTTTCCCCTCCTCCCTCTTCTCAAAGCACCTCTCCTCCTACTATTGCTGGGGCTAGACCGCTTTCCTCTCCAACCTCTGCTCCTCTTCTCCAGCCTGATGTGAGTGGACCCTCAGAAAGCTCAGTTTCAGAACGACGGGAACTCTTATTGCAGCTTCCTGCTGTCAAATTCTTATCGAGACCAGACTTTTTCCTCATTTTGAACACAAACCCGTGTGCGAGCGCAATGTATGAGCGCAGTAGCAGCCTACGCCACATGATTTCAAGGATCCGACGAGATGGACTAGCGTTTGCTCGCTACCAACACAACCGCGACCTGGTGACCATCGTTAACCTCTTCGCAGACCGTGACCGCGAGTTGCAGTCAAACTGGGAGGCCAAGTACGACCGCGCTGGTAAAATGTTTTTCATTGATCACACCAGCAAGACAACTACCTTCATGGACCCTCGTCTTCCAACTGAACCTGACGAACCTGTGGGGGCCTCGTCAATGCCCTCTGGCAGGCTGTCGGTTCCCCCGCAGGGCGCTCACCGTTCATCCAGAGGCAACACTGGCGACTCGACGATCCCTCCTCCACGACCTGCGACTACGATAGGCGGCCTCAACAGCAACCAGTCGAGCGGGCTGTCCCTGCCCACCGCCTACAACGAGAAGGTCGTAGCCTGGCTACGGCAGGCTAATATCATGGACATATTGTGTGAGCGCCAGAGCAGCCTTAGGAACGCCGCCAGTGCTCCACTAAGAGAGAAAATTGCGGCTCTTCGTCAGGAGGGAACCACGGCGCTCACAAGACTTTGTCATGACATCGACCTCACCATACTGCTCAGGTGAATGGGTGTTCAGTGCCATTAACCAGGTGCTTAAAGATATTCCTGACATTTGGAAATCCTATGTTTTCTAAAAATAATGTGTTGGAATTCGATTATAAGCTAGATGTTGAAGCTCACTTGTTACATCGCAAGTCTTATTTCAGAGAAAAATGTGTTTTTAAGCCAATCACCTGCAAAGCTTAAAAGTTATCTGGCAAATCGCACACGTGCAACGCGAGTTCGGATATAGTCGAGACAAACCTGCTCCTGTATCGTTTACGTCCTACTAAATTCTAATTTTTATTGCCTAAATTGTTTCACATATTATCATTGCTAAATTAATGTATTAATTATAGGTTCGTACTTTTTTAGTCCGTTGTCTTGACAAGTACACACTTCTTAATTTCTTATGACTAAGTTAATAGGAGTGCATGCCATTTTATGGAACCCTGATCCACCCTAACGCTGCATCTCATTCCACAGTTTATTCGAGCACGAGATCATGACGTACGTACCGCCGGCGTTCAGCTCACCCTCGCCCTCACCTTCTCCTCAAGCCTCTCCAGCCCTCCCTCGCGCCGTCAGAGCCCCGGCTCCCTACCGAAGAGATTTCGAAACCAAACTGAAGAACTTCTACAGAAAACTCGAGGCAAAAGGTTTCGGCCAAGGTCCCGGAAAACTCAAGCTGAACATCAGACGAGAGCGTTTACTTGAAGACGCTTTCACCAAGATCATGGCTGCGGGCAAGAAGGATTTGCAAAAGTCTAAGCTTTACATCGTCTTTAATGGAGAAGAAGGCTTGGACTATGGTGGCCCATCCCGGGAATTCTTTTTCTTGTTGTCACGCGAGTTATTCAACCCGTACTACGGTCTGTTCGAGTACTCTGCGAACGACACGTACACAGTTCAAATATCACCCATGTCGGCATTCGTGGAGCGGTACCCTGACTGGTTCCGCTTCTGTGGACGAGTGTTGGGGCTGGCGCTGGTGCATCAATACCTACTTGACGTCTTCTTCACGAGGCCTTTCTATAAAGCCCTCCTCAGGAGGTTAGTGTCACTTTTGTGCCACAGGCTTTATTTTATTACCAAATTTCACCCCCTTTCCTGTTCATTAGTGTTGCAATAAATGATTAAAGGGGTTATTCAAAAAGCCTGAAATAACGCTGGTCGCTTTGAATATTCAGCCGGTAACTTAAAATATCGACTTATTCATAACTTCACAATTTCTTTTAACATCATTATTTTACTTTAAATTCGTGAAACTTTACTTCGCAAGCAACGTTTCTAACACCGTAACTATGCGCAGTCCCGTGTCGCTGTCGGATGTAGAGGCGCTGGACGCAGAGTTCCACCAGTCGTTGCTGTGGGTGAAAGACAACGACCTCAGCACCGCCCCTCTGGACCTCACCTTCGTCGTCACAGAGGAGCTTTGTGGCCGCGCTGTCGACAAGGAACTCAAGCCTGGCGGCAAGAACATTCCTGTCACCGAGAAAAATAAAAAGGTTTGTGATTCTCCATCGTAGTTGCGATCATTAATGATGAACGTTTTTTTCACGGTTCTTGCATGTATAACAATGAACAAGAAGGTTGGTGTGTTAGAGCGTAAACATTGACATGTAAGGACAAAATGGGGTGAAGAACGCGGCAATGAGAGGCATGAAATGAAGAAAATCGTGAAGGAGGGCATAAGCTACCGTTATATACAATTGGCCCAAAAGTAATATGGATACGTACGTGTAGGTAGAAGGGTTGTTTCTTCGCCCATTAAGTCTAATTCGTCGGAACTGAATCATTACATAATCGTTCTGACAGCCTTCTGGTTCACATATATTAGTAATGAACTCCTGGCATTTTAGTATTTTTGCGCTGATATAAACTCGCAGAGAAACGTTCTTGCTTATCTTTAATTTAGAGAAATGCCCTTGCGTGGGTGGGTAAACTTCCACATAGAATTTATTCCACAAGTTACTCACTTCAATTGCACCTGGAGCGATACAATTAATAATCTAAATTCGCTTATTTGTCATCTGAAACCTTTCTTTAATGATGCGTACAATTTTCATCTTTTTGTAACTGTAAACGATAAGTTTTTCCTGTTGCTTTCTCGTTACTTATGTTTTGATCTCGTTCGTATATATTTCGATTTATATAGTATATTTTATGAAACAGTTTTTTGTCGAGGAAGCAATTTTTATTATTTTTCTTCCCATTTTTTTGGTTAACTTTTATTTTGGAGATACTTCTTTCGGCAAAAATGAGTTGGCTCCTTTTCCTATAAACCATATATATTTTTTTACCACATTTTCTTCATTTTTTCAAACTTTTCTTTTTAAACGTAAAGAGAAATGAAAACCTTTTTTATTGTTTATTTTTTATTACGATTGTTACAAAGTATTTAGCAGTAATTATAAAAAAAGAAATGTGCATGCTAAAAACACCCATTCGACGACACTGGCTGTCGCAGCAAGTTTAGTAACTGTGGACTGTAGTTCCCACTGACACATCCTATCTTTGCAATTCCTTTGCCCCTGCCAGGCGTAAGATTAGACGAGAACACTTGTTTGACACGTAAAATGGCTCAAAAAGGCTTGAAATCGACGAGTATATATACGTATGCAGCTGGTTTTTATAGGTTGTGTTTTTACCAACATACGATTGAAGAAAGATTATTTTGTGAAGACGAGTATGCACATTTATGCCGGAGAAGGAACAATTAGCAAACATTAGCTATACTATTATGAACTGGATCCGGAATTAAGGGATTCGAGACAACGGTATTTTGGACTGCAGGCATCACAGATCCCCAGCTAGACCAGGCTATCCTTGTTAAATATAATTTTCATGGTAGATTGTATTAGCAATGGTCGCCCCCAGGAGTACCTTGAGCGCATGGTGCGGTGGCGTCTGGAGCGCGGTGTGACGAGTCAGACGGAGGCGCTGCTCAGAGGCTTCCATGAGGTACTGGAGCCTCGCCACGTGCAGCTCTTTGACGCCAGGGACCTGGAACTTGTCATCGCCGGCACCCTCGAGATCGACGTGCTCGACTGGAGGAAAAACACCGAATACAGATCAGGTTAGTCCGTCATAACAATATATTATCACTCATTTATATTTGTGAGCTGATACTCCCTTAATGTCATACAATTTTTTTAGATTGATGAACCAATCATTTTTTTTTAGATATGAGGAACTCTCACTTGAAAAAAGCTTCGTCTAGAATCAATGAAAATATTATTTCTTCATGGTTGAGTTAATTCGTTGGTAATAACAGGTTACCACGACGCGCACCCGGTGGTGCAGTGGTTCTGGCTCGCCATCGAGCGTTTCAGCAACGAACGTCGGCTGCGGCTACTGCAGTTCGTCACGGGCACCTCATCCATCCCATACGAGGGATTTGCCGCCCTCAGGGGCAGCAATGGTCCTCGCAAGTTCTGCATCGAAAAGTGGGGCAAGCCTTCCAGTCTGCCCAGGTACTTATATTCCCGTTTTGGTGAGATGTGAAGGCTAAATTTGTAGTCTCGTCTGGGCGAAATGTGTAGTTCCATTGGTTGAAAGTCTGCAGATGAAGATTAATGTGAATGATTTACAGATAATCTTTGATTTTAAGTACCAGTATTTGACATTTAGGTTCGGCGCTAAACAAAGGAGTTTTAGAAGTTACCAACAGATTAATCTACCCATTCGTAATTAAGTTTTGTGCAACGTAAAGTTTTCTATATGAAGGTAATATCAACATGCTTTTTCACTGTTCGATGATATTCATGATATTGATGTCGACGCAGAGCGCACACTTGCTTCAACCGCCTTGACCTGCCGCCGTACCCGTCGCCCGAGATGCTGCACGACAAGCTGCTGCTCGCTGTCGAGGAAACCGCCACCTTCGGCATCGAGTGAGGGGCACGAGGCATAGAGCGAAGGACGCCGCATGGAGTCGGGGCTGCTGCTCGCTGTCGAGGAGACCGCCAACTTTGGCATCGAGTGACGGGTGCACCGTGGCAACGAGTGAGGGGTTCACACTCGGCATCGAGTGATGGATGTGTCGTTCAAACACCTGAAGTCAATTCAATCCATGGAACGATGCAATAATGCTGCTTAGTTTCGGTATACAATGAATGATTGCCATGAAGCTACCGCCATGTTTATAGCTATGTATTTATGGATGGGGCTGTCAATTGATGGTGGATAGTGATAAACGAAAAGCAGCCTACTATTTGTTTCGTATACAGTTTTCGGTTCTAATAAAGCTCAATATTATTGAGCGTCGCCAAAAAAAAATTATCGAAGGTCATTGATTAATAGAGAAACAAATGGGAATTTTGATTCTTGATTTAGAACGGTGCCGAGCGTTCTTTATTTGGAATATTTTACGGAGTTTTCCTTTAACAGTTGATGCAGTGTACGGATTAAAAATATAGTAAATTGTGTTGTTCTAATAGGATATTGTAAACATTTATCCAATTGCTGAGGTGATAATATTGAAAAAGATTAGTTTAATGTGGTGCTGTGGTCTCGTAAAATAATTTTCTAGTGCTAAAGTTGGATAAGTCGAATCCTTACGGTATGGTTGAATGTAGATTCCTATAAAGTGAAATTGGGAGGGTACAATTAGCTTGTGGATGCAGTTGCTACGTACTCAGGAGTTCTAAACTATTAATGTGATCATATAAAGGATTACGCGACTATATTGAAAATTGTACATATTAGCAAGTGTTTGAAAGGTCGGTATTTGTGGCGTTTGATGTAAGATGGACGAGATGGGCGGACTTCGACGTTGTGTCCCATGTAGAGACCGTGCCTAAAGTGCAACTCTTGACCTGTGTAATTAACTGTTCAGAGCCGTGATCGTGGCTCAAGTGACCAATTATAGCTCTCATAGTCATGTGATGTTTCGTGTGTTTCTGCTGGCTGCAATCGTGAAACATGCTCGTCATATACACTAGATATCGCTGAATAGTTTTCAGCTGTAGATTAATGATTATCTTGGTTGCTGTTTTCGGTATTATTCCTGTATCGTGCCATTGTAAGTTACTGCTGATATGTTATTTATCTTGAACAGCGGAAATTGTAGCACTTGCCGCTTTACTTGAATTTTTCTTTAGAGCAAACGCCCAACAAATTAAGCTTCCTTGTAACAAATGCAATTGAGGCACATTTAAAATTGTACGTAGTTTATATACAATTTTTCTGTGTTTAGCTGGAACCCTTTTGATTCGCTCCAATTTAGTTAGCTTTAGTATACTTTCAAACCACTCAAGGCCAATACTACGTTTCTTCAGGAAAAATTATGACGGGATAAAATTCATCAACGGATGACACCAAGAGCATTAATTTAGCCAAATATAGACCTATTTTGTGGTCAATAAACGCCAGTCTTAATGCCAACTCAGGACTTGATAGCCGAGTAACCTGTTCTTATTATTATTACATTCACTTGTTTGCGTTGTGTGCACGTATCTTTTAAGTAAGCTTCCACGATGATCCATTAGAGTCAAGGTTCTCGATTAGTAGAACATTGTTTAATATTATGTTTCTCCATTGCTGTTGTGATCTTCGTATCTTTCGTTTCGTGCTGGAACGTCACTTATTTAAAAGTGACTTTACTATTTAAAAAGTTACTATTATACTATGTATATGTTATGGTGGACTGTGAACCATTTACGAAATCATTTCGATTTCGTCGAGAATAAATATGCGGTTTAAAATCGGTGCCGTTTAGAATACTGTTGTACGACGTGTATTTTGTAGAACTCTCGGCATATTGTCCGGTCGCTAAGAACTGCAACGTTACATTTCTATTTACGGGTGCATGTAATGTGTTGCATATGAAGCGAGATTCCGTGTTCTTATGTGTGTATGTAGTAGACAGTAATAGGTACTGTCGGTGTTGCTAATGCAGCTCGATGTAGACGTACGATTACGTTTCGCTTCTTATCTCTAGCGAGGTTGTCCTTTTCAGTATTGAAAAACTCCTAGTCTTATTTTAGCAGCTGTGCGTGATTCCGGCAAGAGCGTAATTGCTCGTAAATGCACTCGTGAAAAACTTCATGTAAATTGTGTACGTAATGATCCCTGTTCTGTTGGGACATGTGGATCGGGTAACTATAATATTTATGTACGAGGACGGAGATTCAATATAATTAATGTAATAACTGGAGCGCAAAATTTGGAAAGAGCGAAAAGATAATGTTTTGGCAAGCACTGTTAAGGTTTAGCATTTCATCGCTTGCAGACGTGATCTATGCTCCGTGCAGCTAAGTTTATATCCAAGTAATAACTTGTGCGTGTTTGATGTGTTCGTATATACGTAGAATTTCTTCATAATTTTTGTTGCGAGTTTTATGCTCTGTAAATTTCATGTACGTAGTGAATGGCAAAATAGATTTTTAAGCTCAAACTTTAGCATTGAGCTGGAGAGAGGGAAAAAGAGGGAGCAGGATTTGGTCTTTTTTTTTTTTTGAAGCAGAATTTGTTTTTTTTTTGGTCAACAACGCCATAAATTAGTTGAAGATCCTAATACAAGACCATAATAATATATTACCAAACTATAATAATTTACTATGAACAAAAATAATTCATTTACTGCTAATGCTTCAGCCTGCGGGTGACTGTAGAAAAATAAGTTTCGTATCGATGCTGCCAAGAATTACTGAAGCTGTTCTGTCATGTGATGCCTTCAGGCTTAATTTCTTATGTGCGGCTAACCTTGTGATAATTACCTTATTTTTGTGTGATTGTTTTGTATCCTATTCAATATATCTGTGTTATTGTATTTATTTTCTCAACTTTATATCAAAGCAATCGACGTCGGTGTCGAGTTATAACTTTAATTATTGAAGAACGCTTCAATTTGAATTCAGCTCAAATTTTTTATCTTTTAGGCCCAGTGATTACAGTTCAGAGTACCAAAATTGGAGCAGAGAGGTGCGGGTTCGATCCCAGCTCTGTGCGCCAGTTTCTGGTCAGAATCGGCCAGGAGGCCGGGCGGTTAAGCACAGCAGAATTAGAAGCAGTGAGTTGTGAGTTCGAGACCGCAACAAGCTGTGGATGTTCTGCGATGTTAAGAATCGGCGACAGGCCTATGGCCTAATAAACGCTGAAACCGCTATTATTATTATGTGTTCAGCTGTGTCATCTAAGCTGATCAAGTCAACAACTTTCTATCACGAAGATGAGTTTTTGAAACAAAAAAAAATTACCCTCGCATCAGAAGGTATGCGGAAGACAAATAAATATTTCTATGAAGATATTATTTAACCTGCCGTATCCGTACTCTATTTTTGCACTGGCACCAGGCAAGAACTTCAGTGTTATATCAAAAAACGGCATAAAGCGTCTTAGTCTTCCCACGTATTTAGCAAAAATATTAAATTTCAAAATTTCAAGTGCTTTCGAAAATTGAAAAAAAAAATAATATAGAACAACGTTCAGAAAAATTTATGGGTAATATTGTCCAAATATTGACACACTCTCTGCGCGTAGCACTAACACAACCTTTATCCTGGGTCAATATAACCTACATAGGGCGAAAAGTACATCGTTATTTCGACGAAGTCCCACACATTTCTACTATTACTACTATTACTACTATTACTACTACTACTACAGTAGGTACTAACCTTCCGGAAGCAGCACGAGTGTATAGGATCTCGATTCAATTTGTACGATCTTGTTGAGAACGCCTGTTGGAAAAACATGTTTAGGCAAAGATTATTTTTTCAAGACTTCAAAAAAAGTTTCACTTCAATGAACGTAAATTTATTTTGATGTTCAGTGCATAACTGATGCTATTGTATAATTTCCAAAGTTGATATTACGCTGCATGGATGCATTTGAAAGATGGTATTTTAGTGTCGATTCAACAGTGCCAAGCTTTTTGCATAGAAGAAAGACGGTACAAGAGCATGGCGGCGAAATTGAAACTATTCCGCTCACCCATATATACGTAGAACTGTCAAGTATTTATTGAGTTTATCATTAAGTGTTTAATTTATTTATTAAGTGTTTAAAGTAGTAGCTATGATATCGCTTTGCACATGCATTATATCATCGTAGTCATCGTAATATGTATAGTTTTCTGTATATGATTGTATATGTGCCGGTGCTATACAGTACGCTGGTGTGAATATTCGTACATTAATATTATGCTTATCATGCTGGCTTGAACAGAACATTTTCTGCACTGTCCAAATATTTTCTAACAAATGTTATGATTACAAATCGTTGTTTGATTGTTATCCTATTAGAGCTGCTGTAGTGGCACCGTAAGGCGCAGTATCAAATAATGCTGACGTGCAATGCATACATATTTCAAATAATTTCATTAATTACTCAAATATTTACTTGAACACGAAATTAAATAATTTTTCATCATGATTTCTTGTGGAATAACGATGATGATAGAAATATTTCATCACAAGTATCACTGCAAAGTCCTGATTCAGTCGTTGGAAGAGTCCCTCCTCAAAAATCAATAAGCCTGATAATAATAATGTACTCAGAAAAAGGCGTTCGAGAGCACACAAGAAGCGTATCAATTTCTGAGGTTACCAGCCACATGAGGGCGCACGTTACAATAGAGGGGAGTGTGAGGGCAGAGGTAATAGCTCAGACATTAATGTGAGGGTACGAGGACAGGGGTAATAGGGGCTGCCAAATGAATGGAGGGGAAAATTGAGCGAGCGAGCGAGGGCGGCAGCTCGCACACACTGGCAAGATGAGGTGTCGTGTATAAAAATGACATCACGTAATTAACCTGCTTTGACGCGCGCCAAAAGGTCTTTGCTGATTTGCTCTTCCCGCGAAACGCTGCCGGGAGCCTTGATTTGCGACCTTAAGGACATATGATATTCCTTTAACTTTGAGCTTCGTGGCGACAAAGCCACGACAAACTCGTCTC